AATCACAGTTTGTTATATAGCTAGATGATCATCTATTACCATTGATGATAATTATACATCTGAACTCCCCTGTTCACAATTCACTAAAGCTTCAGAAATGTTTTAAAGTAAGTCATGAATGATTTTACTAATTAATTAATGTTGAAACTATACCAATATACTTCAATCGAATGGTTATAATGGTTAAACTCTCACCAAGAAACCTTATAGTCCAACTTTTCATGTTATATATACTCATTATTGAGAAGATTTGCATCAGGATGAAACAGATGCCAGTTTTTTGGTAAGCAATGATGGATAGGGGCTAGCAGTGGAATCCAGTTTGACGCACGTTTCGTCCTATTTGGGACTCGTCAGCTGGATGTACCTGCATTTCAGTATGCAGCACCGTATGCACATATGCCAATAACAGACTGATCAATTGTAGTCTTAAACCTCAATGGGAAGATACAAGCCAAAAACAACACCAAGATAACAGTTTGTGTTCCACAAAAGTAAAACTTACTTACTTACGCCTGTTATTCCTAGTGAAGAAGCATAGGCCACTCACCAGCATTCTCCATCCAACCCTGTCCTGGGCAATCCTTTCTAGCTCCGTCCAGTTGTAATTCATCCTTTTCATATCTGATTCTATTTCCTGACGTAATGTGCGCTTTGGCCCTCCTCTTTTCCACTCCCCTTCAGAATTGCAAGTTAAGGCTTGCCTCATGATGCAATTTGATGATTAGCGTAATGTATGTTCTATCCATTTCCATCGTCTTTTCCTAATTTCTTCTTCAGTTGGAAGTTGCTTTGTTCTCTCCCACAGAAGGATATTGCTGATGGTATCCGGCCAATGGATGTTGAGTATCTTGCGTAGACAACTATTCATAAATACTTGTACTTTCTTGATTGTGGTTGTTGTAGTTCTCCAAGTTTCAGCTCCATACAGTAGAACTGCCTTGACGTTCGTATTGAAGATTTTCAGTTTGATATTGGTTGGAAAACAATTGTTTTGAGTTCCATATGTTGTTCAGTTGTAAGAATGCTGTCCTTGCTTTGCTAATCCTTGCCTTTACGTCTGCATCTGAGCCTCCTTGTTCATCGATGATGCTTCCTAGGTATGTGAAGAACTCTACATCTTCCAGAGTTTCGCCATCAAGTGTGATTGGATTGCTGTTTTTGAATAAAATCAACTTAACTTTATAATTTTTGATTATGGTCATTGTCAGACATGCTGTTTTCTTTTCTAAATTCATTATTCAATTTATGCTAATCAAAACACGTGATTTGATAATAAAAATAACAAAAAACAACTGCCGTAACAATGAAAAGAACTTTTATAAACAATTAATTTACCCCTGGTTATATTTTATTTCCTTTTCTTTCTTTCTTTTTTTTACACTTTGTTACTTTGTTCACGAGTCAACCACTCCCCCCTCTCTCTTTCTCTCTCTTCCGAGCATATTTACTCATTCACTCACTCACTCACTCCCTCACCCACTCACTTACTCACTCATTCACTCACTTGCTTAGTTACTTACCCTTCATCAAGGACAAATATCATGATTAAATTATTAAAATATATATGTATATATTTGAAAGGAGTAAATAGATCAGTCACTCAAGGTGAGAATTTAATAAAGTTTTTCAATTACATTAAAGTTACCTACCTACCCACCTAACTACCTACCCACCTAGCTACCTACTTCCTCTATTTATTTATTTATTTATTTCATAAAAGAAAAAAAACTTTTTTTTCTTGGTTTCCCGACACATGAATTAGACTTTTTATTACCTTTATTATTATGATTATGAATATCGGAATTATTTATGTTTGTCATTATTGTTGTTAATTTTTATTGTTTCTCATAAAAAAAAAGAAGAAGAAAAGAGAAAAGTAAAGAAAAGAAGCACATATTTGAGAAGAAAAGAGATTCCATGTGTGAATACGGTAATCTCTCTCTCTCTCTCTATATATATATATATATATATAGAGAGAGAGAGAGAGAGAGACAGAGACAGAGATTATTTTAGGCATAAATAATTCAACATGGCTACTCATTTGTTTATAATTTTGATCTTATACAATGTATATACTCACTTTCCCCCCCCTCTCATTTTAATTGAGCATATATATACACACACATATATATACCTACATACATACATTGAGTTATCTACATGTGTATTACCAAAGTAATGAATTAAGAAATATGGTAAATGAAGATAAGATTAACCGATGAATATACTCACTTATATCTATATCTATCTATATAGACACAGGAAATGAATAATATAGTTACTATGATTGTTGAATACCTTTTTATAAAAAACTAGAATAGAAATAAAATTATTTTATCCTTTATCTATAACCATATACGTCCATAAAAGATTGTAGAATCCAAATGATGATAATTACAGAAAGTATTAAGGAATATAAAGATGGTGAATAAGTGAGTAAGTAAGTGAGTGAGTGAGTGAGTGAGTGAGTGAGTGCGTGAGTGAATGAGTGAATGAGTGAGTGAGTGAGTGAGTGGGTGAGTGAGTGTGAATGAGTGAGTGAGGAGTGAGTGAGTGCGTGAGTACGTGAGTGAGTGATTGAGTGAGTGAGTGAGTGAGTAAGTGAGCGAGTGCGTGCGTGAGTGAGGAGTGAGTGAGTGCGTGGTACGTGAGTGAGTGATTGAGTGAGTGAGTGGTGAGTGAGTAAGTGAGCGAGTGCGTGCGTGAGTGAGTAGTGAGTGAGTGAGTGCGTGAGTACGTGAGTGAGTGAATGAGTGAGTGAATGAGTGAGTGAGTGAGCGAGTGAGTGAGTGAATGAGTGTGTGAGTGAGTGAGTGAGTGATTGAGTGAGTGAGTGAGTGAGTGAGTGAGTGAGTGAATGAGAGATTGTGTGCGTGAGTGAGTGATTGAGTGCGTGAGTGAGTAGTGAGTGAGTGAGTGAATGAGTGAGTGAATGAGTGAGTGAATGAGTGAGTGAGTGAATGAGTAAGTGAGCGAGTGCGTGCGTGAGTGAGTAGTGAGTGAGTGAGTGATTGAGTGCGTGAGTGAGTGGGTGAGTGATTGAGTGAGTGAACATATCTACATTTAAAGCACAAATATGTTTATATTATACCTTTGAGAATAACTGTAATTTAGTGAAATGTTACAAACGGTGAAATCAGTAACTGATTGACTGAATGAATAAACAAATAAATCCCGTGAAACAGGATTGTGAATGCATACTTGTTATATTCGTTCGTCATTGATTGCTGTGCCGGAAAATGCTCTGATCACTTATACTCGAAACGAGGGACCTTGGCAATTCACACGATGAGAAAGTAAGAACACGAAGACAGGTATAATTGATGATTTATTAGCCCCAAAACACTATAACAACGACGAATCGAAATCTAGTCTAAAATACACTCATTTATATATTGATTGTACACCCATTTTGATTAATAATTACGATTACATCACATACTCAGTTATAACAAATCACTTACTGAGTATAGTTCATGTCAAGTGAATACAAGAATATCGTACAGAAGTAAATATCATATTGGGAAAACAAATCAAATACTACACTGAATGATCGTTATGTTGAATCAAATGGATGTAATATTGAATAATACTCATAATGAGTAAATCAATCGAAAATTGATTTTTCTTTCCATCATATCAATACTGATGAGGAGTTCTAAAATAGGACAAAACGGCTGTTCAGTTGTTCTAAATTTTCTATGATGGTCTTAGTTTCAATTGACTTATGAATTAAACTATTGAAATAACAAATAAATCAATTAAGAATTCACTTCTTTTTAAAATTATCTAATTTACAATGTACAGTGAATTGAAAAAGAATGTGAATTAACAACAATTAGAGTACTATTTGCGTATATAGTGACTTACTTACTTAAGCCTGTTACTCTGTAGTGGCATTGAACAATAACCGCACAATCCACAAAGCTGAACACGAGACTACTCAGAAAATAGATATTCAATATTTAACGCGGAGAATACCTAAGAATGGAGAAGGCGCGATCAATGAGTTGAAGGTACTAGAGTGGATCGAGTGGCATGGCTCGGCCATGCAGGCGTGGTCTCTGCTGAATGTTACCTTATATCTTCTATTCATATTAAATATATTGTTCTTTCTTTAGCCTAACCTTGTTCTACATCATGTATTGGTAATTGATACGATACAGTGAGTTGGTGTAGTCGATGGTGTGACTTCCACGTAAGATCTTATAGATTAGGCAGTTATATCATGACAAATCTACAAATTTAGGATTAGGTCTATTATTAGAGCAGTACTAATATCATAGTAGACCATAGTTTTACAACTCCTCTTGAAGAAGCATAGGCCACTCATCAGTATTCTCCATCCAACCCTGTCATAGGCAATACTTTCTAGCTACTTCCAGTTGTTTTTCATCTTTTTCATATCTGATTCTATTTCCTGACGTAATGTGATCTTTGGCATTCCTCTTTTTTGCTTCTCTTCAGGATTCCAAGTCAGGGCTTGCCTCGTGTGTATGTAGTGAACTGTGAATTATATATTATGTTCATATATGATACCATTATCTCCTTCTCTTTCTTTCTTAGGTCTTAAAATGTTTAGCCAAATTAAAAGGTCTTGAGTTCGATTCGAACATAATGTTATGAATAAGAAGTATAAATTGAGAATTTTAAAATTATCAAGGGGAATGATGAATAGTGACTAGTAGTGGAATCCAGTTTAACGAGCGTTTCGTCCCATTTGGGACTCGTCGGTTGAATATACCTGCATCCGTGTTCATGTTCACTCTTGGCACTCGAACTCAGTACATTATCTTTTGTTTCAAATGCCATCACTTTATCCACTTAGCTACTGAATGCTGAGAGCCACTTGCTTGTGCAATGGGTTGAAGCTGAAATTCACTTCCTATTTTCTGTAAATTATTCATTGCGTGTTGTATTGTCTTATCTCTAATAATAAGATTTAAAATAAATATTCAATAAATCTACTTACCTAATCTATCTAAATACAGTTAACGATGATGATGATGATGATGATGATGATGATGATGATGATGATGATGATGATGATGATGATGATGATGATGATGATGATGATGATGATGATGATGATGATGATGATGATGATGATGATGATGATGATGATTTGGATGATGATGATGATGATGATGATGATGATGATGATGATGATGATGATGATGATGATGATGATGATTTGGATGATGATGATTTGGATGATGATGATTTGGATGATGATGATGATTTGGATGATGATGATGATGATGATGATGATGATGATGATGATGATGATGATGATGATGATGATGATGATGATGATGATGATGATGATGATGATGATGATGATGATGATGATGATGATGATGATGATGATGATGATGATGATGATGATGATGATGATTTGGATGATGATGATGATGATGATGATGATGATGATGATGATGATGATGATGATGATGATGATGATGATGATGATGATGATGATGATGATGATGATGATGATGATGATGATGATGATGATGATGATGATGATGATGATGATGATGATGATGATGATTTGGATGATGATGATGATGATGATGATGATGATGATGATGATGATGATGATGATGATGATGATGATGATGATGATGATGATGATGATGATGATGATGATGATGATGATGATGATGATGATGATGATGATGATGATGATGATGATGATGATGATGATGATGATGATGATGATGATGATGATTGGATGATGATGATGATGATGATGATGATGATGATGATGATGATGATGATGATGATGATGATGATGATGATGATGATGATGATGATGATGATGATGATGATGATGATGATGATGATGATGATGATGATGATGATGATGATGATGATGATGATGATGATGATGATGATGATGATGATGATGATGATGATGATGATGATGATGATGATGATGATGATGATGATGATGATGATGATGATGATGATGATGATGATGATGATGATGATGATGATGATGATGATGATGATGATGATGATGATGATGATGATGATGATGATGATGATGATGATGATGATGATGATGATGATGATGATGATGATGATGATGATGATGATGATGATGATGATGATGATGATGATGATGATGATGATGATGATGATGATGATGATGATGATGATGATGATGATGATGATGATGATGATGATGATGATGATGATGATGATGATGATGATGATGATGAGGATGATGATGATGATGATGATGATGATGATGATGATGATGATGATGATGATGATGATGATGATGATGATGATGATGATGATGATGATGATGATGATGATGATGATGATGATGATGATGATGATGATGATGATGATGATGATGATGATGATGATGATGATGATGATGATGATGATGATGATGATGATGATGATGATGATGATGATGATGATGATGATGATGGTAAAATGTACATACACCTATACACTGACCTAAATAAATACTTTTTTTTAAACATTCATCTCATTATATTACTGAACTCTCAAATGAAACAGACATTTTAATTTTCTTTTTCCCTTTTTTTTTGTATTTTTTTTAAATAAGAGAACAATCTATACGATGGTATAGTTTCTAGATTACTAAGTTCAGTTCTTTTTTTTCAGTAGTATAGAATAAAATAATCACAGTATTCATTATATCAATAATAACAGTATCGAGGTATTCAAGCATAACGACAAGTTGCCACATACAATACTTACATTTGCATTAGGAAAACACGTGTACCCTCACTCACTCACTCACACACACTCACACACGCACGCACACACCTACGAACACACACACAGACGTGGATGAGTAAAGATACATAGATAGATAGATAGATATACATCTATATATATAATAGAAGGATTTGTTTTAAAAAAAAACAAACAAAATAGACGACCTTTGAACATTGAAAAAAAAGGCACAAAAATTGTCTGGTTTTATGTTTCTTTCTTTTTCTTTTCTTTTTCAGTAATAAAATTTCTCTTTTCTATGACCAAAATTAAAGTGACTACTTTTGACAGATATACACAGATACACAACCCTACATACCAAAACACACACACACACAGATTCATACATAGATGTACCAATGATTTGTTGATTAAGTATTTAAGTAGTATAGATAGATAAATAGATAAAAACGAATCTATTTAATAGTTAGTAAATAAGTAATATAATAATAATAATAATAATAGTAATGATAATAATGTAAAATTAAGCCTAAACTAGAATTCACATATGCCGCTGAAACAATAAGATAAATACAAAAGATTCATTGATGTGGAAAAAAAACAACACTCAAACTACAACTGAATCAATTCACACGCTTTATTATCCTTAATCATTCATTATATTCCATTAAATGAATATGAATATGACATATATCGTTGAATAGTAACAAATGATAATAAGCATAACTCATTTAGTTTTTGTTTAGTCATTAGATAGATAGGAACAGAGAGAGAGAGAGAGGGAGGGAGGGAGGGAGATAGTGTGCTTAGCATACTTGACTTCATGGTTCATTACACATTACCAAAATAAGTAAGGAATAATACTGCCTTATGGTTAATAATATATAAATATACTATTTCACGAAGTTGCATTATCTTACACCATTGTATTCAGTGAGTTGAAATCTTACAATAGACCTGGTTGAACTCCACTGATCAGTGCTTCTCACTAGAACTCCAGAAGTATCTCCTGAAGTCAGTCACTAGTAAGCAGTTGATTATTATCAGAATGGGTTTTGTGGAGATTTTTAGAAATTTCACAGATTGAAATCATGAGTCAATTGAAGCTAGACCAACATGGAAAACCTGGAAGCACTGGACGGCTCAGTGGTTTAATGGTTAAGTGCTCGCGCGCGAAACCAGTAGGTCTTGGGTTCGGATCTTGCGGGATCGTGGGGAATCGTGAGGAATCCCATACTGGGACGAAGCGGCCTTCCAGTGCTTCCAGGTTTTCCGTGATGGTCTAGCTTCAATTGACTCATGATTTCAACCTGCGAAATTTCTAAAAATCTCCACAAAACCCATTCTGAAAATATACTATTTGATAATAATGGGACTTTCGTTTGCCTACGATTACATATACATTATATCATATATATATATATATATATATATATATGTATATATATATATATATATATATATATATATATATATCTGGGAGTCTCATTAGCTGTTGTGGTCTGGTGTGTGTGTGTGTGTATGACGAAATCTCAGCATGGATACAGAAGGATCGATTAGCTTTTGCGACGAGACTCTAATTTATGGACGAGTCAATCAGAAGCATTTTAGAGATTTCAAGGTTACGGTGCCAACTTCAGTGCTTAATGCTAACGTACGATCGGTTTACAGGGAATTTTGTACAAAACGTGATAATTGAGCGGCTATAACAAATAAAACGGTGTGACTATAATTTGTGGACGAAACAATCAGGTATAAGGTAATAGATCTCGGATTTTAACGCGAAAGCCTTTCATCCATTTGGCTAAATAAAGTTTTATCATTATAGCTGATATCAGTTCGTGATGAAAACCACATAAAACAGGCTGCAGCGAGGTACTACAATATATACGGAGTATTGGAGAGTGTACAGACTCCTACATAGGCTTGATTATGTGCATCGTGTCGTTGTCTACAAGTGGCATTTTGTGCACTCAACAACCGGAGTGCACATAAACAGTATTCCAGCTATGCAGTCGAGGCTGAAAGAGTTTTTGCGACCTTATCATGCCTCCAGATGCCGACTATTCTGTAGCCATATGGATGATTTCCTCTACTGAATGCATTACGATTTTAGAACCTCTGAACCTCTTTCTCACCTTGACAAGTTTTCAACCACGTATAAGAAGTGTATCCACTTTATTTCCTTGGTTTTGTATAACATATTTTTACTCTATACTGACTGTTTGCTGATTAGCTAATATTTCTCAAGTTCACTTAAGATTCGTTCAAAGGTCGTCCATAAATTAGAGTCTCGCCGCTTTCGCCAACTTGCCTCATTTATGGTGTAGACGACGTATCCGTCTACCAAACAAATGAAGGGTTTACTGCTCAGTAGTTCGTTATGTCCTACTTTATGGCAGTGAAAAATGGTCGGTAAGAGTAGAGGATATTCGTAGGTTACTAGTATTCGATCATAAGTGTTATTGAAACATTGCTCGTATATCCTGGGACCATCGAGTAAGTAACGCAGTTGTTAGGAAACGGGTACTAAGTAAAGATGGCAAATCAATTGATGAAGTAGTGAAACTTCATCAGTTGAGATGCCTGGGACATGTATTACGTATGCCCAACCACCGACTGCTCAGACGAGAGATGTTTTATGGTATAGGAGTAGGTTGGAAGAAAGCTAGGGGTGGCCAGATCAAAACATGGCAGAAATCCATGAAGTCACTGACAAGTGAACTGAGCCATTTTGGCAGGTGTAGACTATCTGTTTGGCATCTGTGAGGCGATAACAACCGATGGTTAGAGATCTTGAATGATATGGTTCAAAATTGTTTGTAATGGTGTGCGCAGGTGCATCCATTCTTTATGTTCTACCAAATTATAATCTTCTGAATTCTTCATGTCTCCTTCTTTTTTTTCTCTTTCCAAATTTATTTTGCTGGATTATACTCCTTGAATAACATCTTCACACCTTAATCTTTCCGATTACTGCTTATACTCTTACTACCTCTACCACTGTGGTGTGTGCTACTTTTATTGACATAAGTAGTAGATGATGTTAGTCGTGAACAGAAGGTCTGGCAGCAGAGAAACAAGAGGATCGATCAGTAAAGAATGGGAACAGAATGCAATTTGTATGAAAATGCAAGAACAATGAAATCTGAGTCATTTTGAGACAATTGATGGACATTTTGCAAATTAAGCCTTTACTATATGATTGTTAGATTATATTAACATTCGATTGTCCCCACTGGTGTTCTTGTTCACTACAACACTATGGGATTTGAATCGACAATTGAATCTCTGTGTTAATGTTGTATGGTAACTCGAATTGATGTACGTACGAACGAAGTCCCGCGTTGTTGTTGACTGACGGACATGTTTGCGAGTATTTATAGCACAAGAAGATTATATGAGTAGCATTGATGCATTCATTAAGTGCTAAGGTGATTTTCAGAATAGTCAGGTTTTGTTAGGAAGGCTAAGATCTTTTCTGGAACGATAGCCGCATGATTGTATGATCTTCGCCCTCTGATTGCTTGTCGTGTTCTTTTTTACTATGCTAAATTGCCACATGCTCGAAGGTTATATTCTGCTAATATAGTAACGACTTTTGTACTAATTTCGTTTGAGTTGCTTGTTCTACTACATATATCAAGTTACCTGCTATTCCGTCTTCCTCCTGTCTTGGCCGTCAAGGTTTGATGTGCTGAGCATAATTGACTGTTGTCAGTTTCCAAGAGAGACGATAGTATTAGAGAAGTTTAATCGTTTTCGTTCCTAAATCCGTAACATCGTAGGTCGTACTAAGCTAGAATAACAAGACATAACATTAAGTTAAATGATTTTTTACTCTTCCCAGAAAAATGGTTTAGAAAATATTATCATCATAACTTTAACACTTGAATTCATTAGTCGATCTAAGCAAGGTTATTATTGAACAAATGGAAGTATTGGATGTTCGTTGCGTCCTACTATAGGACTCCACAAATCCTCATTCTGATAATATAATAATTCATTGAAAACCTGAAAGCACTGATAGGTCGTTTCCTACTATTATGGGATTCCTCAATAGTTCACATCCACGACCCCGCATAAGAGACTCTAACACAGGACCTTCGATCTCACATGCGAACGCTTAACCTGTAGAACTGAGCCGACATTCAACAGTTGTAATGTATTCTAAATTTTCAATGGTGGTCTAGCTTAGATTGACTCATGAATTCAACTGTGATCATATATTTAAATAGAATCTGGTCTTAATCCTAATTTCTCCTACTAATTAATGACCTACTACTGATTCTAGTAAGTAGGTTATTTGTCTCTATGTTATTTTGACATTAGTCGACGATCGTTCATTAATTATGGTTTATAAACAATGTTTTATTGCAACTAATGAATATGAAAATTGAATTAAATAATGAACAAGTTTTATTATTCACTTGGTGTTGCTTTACTTCTATCTTCCTACTGTTATTTAGAACCGTAATTGATTACTCTCTTGTTGATATATGTGCATCCTATGAGGATGGCCTCGATATAGTCTTAAGCTAAGCTGTTTAAGCAATGATGAATAGTGGCTAGTAGTGGAATCCAGTTTGACGCGCGTTTCATTCTATTTGAGACTCGTCAGATAAATGTTCCTACATCCCACAGTTGATGTTCACTTAGGGACTCGAACTCACTACACTATCGTCTACTTCAAACGTCATCACGTTATCCACTTAGCTACTATGCTCCGACAGCTACTTGCTTGTGCAGCGAAGTGAA